TTTTTTTTTAACACTTATAACAAAAATTGTAATGTATTCTTGATATTTTTTAATTTATGTTATTATAACTTTCAAAAAATGTTGTATTAAATTTTCAAATTTATTATAACCCAAAAAAATGTATTATTATAAATGTTAATTGATAACAAAAAACTGTAATATAAAATTAGAACATTTTAAATATCTATGATTACTCAATAAATTTTTAAAATTATAATATGACTAGAAAATGCTAGTATAATCATATGGTAGACATTTCAAGTCTACTGATATTTCTTTGTAAAAACAAAAAAATCAAAACATTTTGTTGAAAACAAGAGTTACAAAAATATTTCCGTTATAGACACTTATAGCAAGAAATCAAATAATAAACTGAATACTTTGAGAGATTGTAATAAATAGTTAAAAAGGCGTGTATACCAACACCATTTCATAGTTGTTCATGACTATTTTTTAGGTAACTAAATTCTGCTTAGTTACTCTTCAAACACAATAATTGGTTGTTTCGATTAAAAAATTAAATAAATAATATTTCTATCATCTTAAACTTTTAAAAATTTATTTTATTATAATACACCTMTTTATTATATACGTGTATTTTTAAAATTTTAGAACACTGTTAGAGATTGTGTTGAGCAATTATACAATATAGCAAAAGAAAATGTGTGTGTTGGTRTTGATACTATTGTTGATTTACCCCAAGCAAGAGCCCAACATCTATTAACTGCAATTTTTTCGAACGCGTCAATTTCTACAAGTATTTTATATTGTTTTATGGAAGATATGATCATGCTTTGTATCGATAAACTCAATTCTTCTCTTTGGACAATCAGGTGAGTTGAAAGTTATTGAATAAATTCAAAGAATGTTATACTAACATTTTGAAGACTCTAAAATTTTAAATTTTAAAATGCTCATACCTTGATATAAGATTAAAATATAAAAAACAAAAACTTACAATGTGCTTTAGATACCTAGGTATCTTAGACTTCGCTTGTTATTTAATAATAGGTCAATTTACTCTAATATTAAAAATAATAAGAGTTAAATGAATAAATTTGATATGTTATGTGTAGGTAAGGTGGTGGCAGGTAAGTAGACAACATTTGTGGGTATAATGTTCTCTTAAGAGGACGACAAGCCCACATTTGTTGTCTCAGTCTTTTAAGTGTGTTTTATACCAAATTTATGATCAGCAGTTCACATTTTATTTCGTTAGTTTAAAAATTAGAGTGAAAAAAAACACCTATTATGAAACAAGATGGTATGAACATTAAACTGAGTTTTTGTTGGAAGTTATTTTTACGAAAATTCAGTTTTTAAGTGTGTTATGAGCATTTATAAGACTGATATAAATTTATTATAAGGGCATAACTCTCTTAAACACWGAATAATCTAAAACAATCTCCAACAAAACACAGATGATGTTCTTTCCATCAAGTTTCATAATAGGTTTATTCATTCTAATTTTTAAGTTTATAGAATAAAACGTGAACTGAGTGTAAATTTGTCATGTTATGCGTTTGTAAGACTGATACAACAAATGGTGGGTGTGGCACGGCGTCCTCTCAAGTCTTTGATAAAATGTTTGAAATTATTGGTTTATATTAATTTTTTTCAAGGAATGCTGCTCTTCAGTTTTTCAGTTCACTCCAAGTGAGATTGATTGGTCAAAATCGTTTAAACAATGATTGTTGGTTATCTCATTTACCACTAGAGCCATTACTATATCATTTTCCACGATTGATGCAACGTTTACAATCTTTATGGTTACAAACAAACTGTAAACTTTCAAGTCAAGCTCGATTAATCCCATTCATGTCTCTATTGAAGGGTGCAAAAATACAGTCATGGAGTTTGTTACCATTAAACCATCAACAATTTTTAAAAAGTCTTCGATGTAATTTGTGGTCTATTGGTTTTGGTATTGAAATATATACTGTAAGAAACATGGCAGCTCAAGCTTACGCCAACACAATACAAGTAAATGAAATATCATCAACTCTGAATAACATTAGTTATGAAATAATAAAATGTGATGGAAGAATTAATTTTACAGAATTTAAAGGTTTTAATTATTTGCACGGGTTGATGTCAGTGTATAAATGTTTGAAAGATGTTTATTATATGGAATTTAACCAAGAATATGAGGTTTTTAAAATAGCACATGAATATTTACCACCATTATGTAAATCAATATATGTATCAATAAACTGTGAAGTAATAGATCCACTTCCTTCAAATTCATCGATTGAATACATTCATGTTAAACAATTAATGATAAAAAATTACATCTCACAACAAATCACATCAAACTTTTCAGACTTTAAAGAATTTTTTAGGAACGCTGATAAGCACACAACTTTAAGCTTTTTTAGATGCCTTAGAGATTGTAACACAGGATACGAAAATGGCGTACATTTAATAAGTAAATTAACCGATTTACTTAGATGGGAAGTTGACGACAAGGACATATTAAAAGAAATTATTCTGAACATTGAAGTGCTTTTATATGTAAGACATGAAGATATTAGACTTGAGTTAGAACTTTCTGATACTCGGTTTTCTGAAATATTACAAACATGTTTATTATGTTCAGAAAAAGATTTTATCGCTATGCTACCAGTTCTCACCTGGTTATGTCCTAGAAAAGTTTATACAACATTTTTGCCGATTGTGCTTAAATTCATCGATTGTGACTCTTATGACTCTATTGATAGATGTAGTTCATCAAAATCTCTATTTTATTGTAAATACACGAAGAATGATGCCAGACTGTGGTTTGCAGTTGTTGAGTTATTGCAAGATGAAGACACTAATGTACGAGTTGAGGCGACAAGGTTTATGAGTCACATAACTGAAAAAAAAGCTTACTTACTAAATCCTTATATGTGTTTAAGGAAAATGTTTGAGATTGACATAGTATCTTCTATAATAAGCCCAAGGGTTGCATTTACCTGTTTTTGGGACCAGTTATCTAAAATTAAAGTACGCACTAAATTTGATGAAACAATAAATCCATTCTTTAATGAACAGTCTAATGTTTATCAAGAACATTCAAATATCATGAAATTGGCTTTTGAAGGTCTCAAATCTTTGATTAAGTTAAATGATCATCTTGATTATTATAAAGAAGAAGTAAAAAAATGTCTTGGTACTTTAAAAAATGAATGTGAATTTAAACATACATTAATTGATGAAGATTTAATGATTTTAGACACATATTCGAGTGTACATTACCAGCAATTATACTATAAAAGAGAAATTTTAGTTTTATTGGATTTCAAAGATTATTTAAGTATGTTTTTTCCAATACTGAAGTTTATTGATTTATCTATTAAACTCTCTAATGCTTAAGACAATGTTAAAATTAGTGTTCGGTAGGTCTTAGGTTATTGATTTAATAATGCTGTGTATTAAATATTAATTATYACATTTTTTTCCAACTGTATAAACTACTGAAATTTATTAACATGGGCCTTAATGTACATAAGTGCATTTAATTAAATATTATGTTATAATTCTATTCTTAAAATGTTTTAGCTGTATGGTTTTTTTTATTTTCTAATTTCAACTGTAAGTTATGTCACAACTATGTATGTATGACTATAATATTTCCCATTGGAAATAAAAAATTCATAWATTTAATTTAAAAGTAATGGTTTTAATTTTTATTTATTTTATCATTTGATACTGACTACGTTTTGAATTGAATGATAATCATATCAACTGCAKATTTGTTTTTTTTTCAAAAATTAGTATTAAAAGCAATAATACTGTTTGTTTAAAGTATATTATACAGTCAATAAATGAATATATTTTAATTACAAATAACTTATCTATCTAATGRTTAATAAATGGCAGATCTACATTGATYGAGGATAATAAAAATTTAAAAAAAAAATCCAGTGTTAAGTCAAGTATATTATATTCAATATGACAGAAAAAGGTATTAATTTACTAAGTAATACATGATACATACGTAAAAATCTTATTTATTTATTGATACCAAGATCATTAATGTATACATACAAGTAATAACTGTACTTTAAAGTAACAGTRCAAGTTAAATAGAAATATATAATCAATAATTATGTAATATTATTGACATTTTATTTTTATTTTGTAATAATAAATATTTTAATAACAATTTTAAAAAGGCAAAAAATGTAAACAGATCAGCAAACATATGATTTTGTATACTTTTATTGTAAATTAAATATAATATAGATAGATACTGKCAGCCTGTATTTGAATTTTAGGCATCCAGTTATGAAGTTTGGTATATGGTTAATAAATTTGTCTATAGTAATTTAAACAATACTTTTATACAGTTGAACTAACCATGAATAGGTGTGCATTAAATTTGGAAAGTTCAAACACTTGACTAGTCTGTTAATTTTCGTCTTTATTTGAATATTATTGGCACAATTTAATTAATACTAAAACAAAATATTTAAGCTTTTATTAGAGAATTGTTAAACGAATAATGTTATTCAATTTAATTTAAATTGGCTTTCATAGTTTAAACATCATAAATAAAACATGACAAATCAAATTTCTAGTAAGTTAGAAAAAATAAATTTATTCTCATTTATTTTTCTATTTAACATTTATAAATAAAATAA